CTACGCCCCGGATCTAGTGTGTCAGCTGGACAGCGTCCAGGGCATGGTCGACGCCCTCAGTTCCGTACGATGGAAGAGACATCAGGTTCACTTCATTACTCTCTCTCTCTCTCTCTCTCTCTCTCTCTCTCTCTAGGGTTTCCTCTTCTTGATTCCCAACTTTTATATGGTTTTATCAAATTTTTTGATCAGGACGCAGTGGTCGAGCTCTCCGAGCACGGGATCGTTCTCATCGTCGAAGAAAGCGGCTGCCTTCAGGCCAAGGTCTACCTTAAGCGCGAGGTTATCTTCTCAATTTCAGAATAAGCCCCTGAATTGGGGTTATTTGCATAAAAGGACTAGAAATTAGGGAATGGAGAGTTTCACAAAGTTTCGACTGAAATACCATTTTTAGAAAAATGGCCTCCCTAGTTTTTTGACTCTTTTGTAATGACATTGGGGTTTTTCTTCTCTTCCAGTTGTTTTTAGTGTATGAATATGCAGCTGAAGGGAGGCCGAGGTTTGGGCTGAGCTTAGGCCTGTTTGTGGATTGTCTCAATACGTTCTCAGCGCCCGGGCATGCCCCAGTCATCGAGATTCGGTACCCAGGCCCAGATATGCAACTTTTGCTCAAGTATATTTCTCCTCTTTCACGGATTACTTGCTGTTGATTGGTTGGTCTATTATCTTATAATAATAGTGTTAGTGTAAAATTAAAATTCTTTAATCTCAATATAAAATTTGACTTCTGATTTATTGCAGGGACCTAAAGATGAAAAAGAAACATTAATCTATAAAATTATAAGACTGTTGACTAACACCAAAACTTTGAAGTTATGGTTTCGTGAAATAGAATTAACACCAAAACGATTTCCTAGTACATTATCTAGTGGGGGGTGTGTGTGTGTGTAACGATTTCCTATGTGTGTGTGTGTGTGTGTGTGTGTGTGTGTGTGTGTGTGTGTGTGTGTGTGTGTGTGTGTGTGTGTGTGTGTGCGTGTGTGCGTGCGTGCGTGTGTGTGTTGATGCCTTTTTGGATGCAAGTAAAGTAATTAAAATGTGTGTGTGTGTGTGTGTTGATGCCTTTGTGTGTGTGTGTGTGTTGATGCCTTTTTGGATGCAAGTAAAGTAATTAAAATGATAAGCAATCATGTTTTTATCAACCTTTGCATGAGTGTACCAGCTGAGTAACATCTTGTAAGGACCCAGATGTAGAGGATTGTACTACCCTTTTGGACATCACTAGAATCCTCTGATGTCATTCGTTCTTCCCTTCTGTTATCATTGTTTGACAGGTCAAAAAGAATTAACTTAATAACAGTAGGAAGAAAATGAAAATTGGAATGTCAAATTGTTAATGTCTTATGACTTACTATAATTCAAAAGACTATTGTGAGACGACAGATTGTATTCCAAAGCCATGCGATCTGATTTGTTGATTTTACAATACCAAATAGGAAGTTCCCTTACCAGTGCTATTATTTGATGAGTATTGCACATACCATCACTATTATGGGTATGATGCTAGAGATTTTTATGCACGTGAAAAATGAAGAGTTTGGATATTCTCCTGTACATATGTTGGGGATACAATTTTGATTCTTGTCCCATGAATTGATATAATTCTGCTGGTTTTTAGGTTTTATATTGTTCAGTACTCTTCTTAACAGTAAGAATATTGGGAGAAGAATTTCATGAAACAGTTTGACATGGTTCTCTATATGTTAAAATTCCAGCTGATAAATTCTATTTTCCTCTCAACTGTTGTTTTAACATAGCTTTAGCTTATATTTTGAGTTTTCTGTTTATGTTTGTTATGTCCAAAAGAGAGACTCTTGTATGGTTTTCTATTTCTGGGCTTTAGATATATCTAGACCAAGTAATCTCAAGGAAGTTGTGAAAGGGATAGTGTTCCCTTTATGACTTTGAATCATGTTCCTATATATTTCTTTTGTGCGCTATTATAGCAGAGTTCATATGCAAGGTTTGTAAATTATGCACCAAATACAATAAAACCGAAGTCTTTGATCAAGGGAAACATCAATTGGAATCCTGACAAAAGAAGTCAGATATATTGGCAAATATGAGTACCCAAGTCTTTGTTATTCAAAAATCACTTCTTGATGCCAAAGCATGTGGGGTTTAATATTTTGTATCAACTGCTATAAGGATGTAATTGTGGAAATCTGTGCGCGCTTTTAGCCTTATCATGGCAAAAGAAGTATGTTCTTCCACGGGCCCCCGGTGTGTCACTGTAAACTCTTGTGTTGGCAAATTAGAAGTTGAGATCATGAGCATTTTGACAACTAATGAGTATTCAAGAATGGTATGTCTTTTATCTAATAGCCTGCTAACGTCAGAAAATTTGCTAGGGATGATGATTTACCTCCCCTTAAAACTAGTTCAGGTGAATATTATTATTATTATTATTATTATTGTTTGCTTATTTTAGTTATTTATACTATTAACATAGTTGTTACAAGGGCCTTAGTCTTCTTGAATTGGTTTAGTTATAAAAGTTTACTGGTTGATGAATCAAATGATGATTAAACCAGAGTTTTCATGGGTTCATCTGACCTGTATTCTGTTTACAAATCCTACAAACTAGGAGAAATTGGCTGCATTGTTTTGTAATGTAGTTGCTCTTAAACATTTAACAGAAATAAGTCCTGATTTTAAGACTGTAGGTGCAATTTCGTATGCTTGATAAAACTAATTTGAATACTTTTTAGCACAATTCCAGCACAAAGATTTAAAACAATCTAGCTTACTTGTTTAATTGTCATATTATAGTAACCATACAATCCACTGAATTTCTAAATGTCTCTAGGTCAGTAGACTCTCCAGATGCGTGCATCTATGCGGAGATTAGAACAAGGATCCCAGAAACCATCTCTTGGGACTACAATTTTGAACCTGCAGGAAGTGTTCCTGTCACTTTTACCGTTAGGGTATTTCCACATATGCTCTTGTTCTCATTTCAATCATAAAGATGTTTAACCATTCCCTCTTCCGTCTTGTAATTTCACACTCTGATAACCAGTCTGCAGTGTTAAAAGAAGCGGTAGATGACCTCGAATGGCCAGGTTCCAGCATCCAGCTGCTTCTTCAGCCTCAACCACCCTCTGTTACTTTCAGAGGTGAAGGTCATGGTGACATACAGGTGGGAACCACTTTTGCTGCTTAATTTAAGGGTAAATTTCACAAAGCCTGCATGAAATTTGGGGTGTTTTGCACTAAGCATCCCTAAATTTAGATTTAGAGAAGGAAAACACAATTTGTTTTACTGAAGGTACCATCACTGATGGCAGTTAGTTAATTGGATATGTACTTTCTAATTTTACTAAGAGTGCTTTTTGGGTTAGTGGTAGATATAGGGTGACTAGGATAGATTATGACTGTTACCCTTTCATGTTAACGTTGTTTATGACAATTTATAATACTTCCCGGAGGGTTTGGATAATTTTGAAAGTTCACGAGGCTTCTCTCTAATTTATAAAGTTTAGGGGAACTTTTTACAAAACACTGCAAAATTCAGTTTTTTAAATTAAAATTTACCCTTCAATTTAATATTGATGACCGGATATTCATTTGCTTCATCATTCAACAGATTGATTTCCAGTATTATGCGAATAACGATCTTTTGATAGCGTTCCAGTGTGATCATCGCATCTCATACAGGTACATCCACATATAACACTCATTACCGTTCCACCTCATTAACTATGAGCAATATTTATACTTTTACAGGTACAAGTATAAATTCCTTGGAGCCACAACTTCGAATATCCCTAGCAGTGTTTTAAAGGACAACAGAGGAAGCAAACTCTCAATTGGGAGGGGAGGGTTGCTGAAGATCCAGCACTTGGTTTCAGTGCAAAGACCAGGAGCTCAACATTCTTTCAGTGATCATGGCCAGCAGCCAAGTAGAATTGCTTATATTGAGTTCTATGTGAAACCAGAGGAGGATGATACTCCCATCATTGATGACTCCTAGGCTTCAGATCCACATGTGCATCCTTGTTCATTTTCTTTTACATGTCTCTTTTATATATGCATCATTAGTTTAGAAATTTGGAGATTTTGTGGATTATGGGTGATTGATTGTATTAATGTCATACAGAACTAGCCTTGGCCTAACAAAACGCGGTCAAGTTCTGGTGCGGTTATTTGACTAACTAGATTAATCTTGGTCCGGCTATTGTTCCACTTGACTTGGTTATCTCACGTTGCCAGGCTCCAGGAGTTAAAAGATGTTTTTTCCTTTGATGCGATGGTTGTGAATAGAGGTAGTAATACATGGAGATTGAGATTCTACAGTTTGGACCCAATGATCAATTCTGAAAAACAATAGCAATGTACATGTTTGCTTTTAGCTTGCCTCTCCAGCTTTGATTTTAAAAGAATCCACGACATTATTATGACTATTTGGAATGTTTTATAGAAGTAACATACAACTTTTTTTTGTTTGTGGAAAAATCAATGTCAAAGCCCCCCAAAAAAAATTCGGTGTGAACTGGCCCTCGTACCCTTGTGTTTCAGCAATAAATACAATGGACTTTTGTGTTTCAACTCTCTTTTACTTTACCGCAGAGAATGTCCCAAAAGAATTTCAAAAATACCCCTCCTCCTCTCGTCCTAACCCTCCCCCCTTTTGTGATTCAGCATCCTCTCTTTCTCTTCTCCTACTCTTGTTGGGGAATTTTAGCCTTCCCGCCTATTACGATCCCCACAACTCGGAAGCTAATCTACAATCAACAAGATATAAAATAACCACAATCAAGAAGAAATAACAGTGAGATTTACGTGGTTCGGTCGACCAACTTCGACCTACGTCCACGAGGTAACAATACGAGAAATCCACTACGTATCAAGGAGAACTACAAGAGGAACCACTCAACTCTCGTCTCTCAATGTCTCAACCTCAAATACATAATCAACTATCATATTCTCTCCAAAACACACTCCTTACAATCTTTTGAACGGATAAAGATTGCAAAACCCTCTCCCAATTTTGTAATCTTTTGCACGGACAAAGACCACAAAACTCTTGCCTCTTGCACAATATTCTTGAATCAGGCTACGCCCTCTGCTAACCCGAGATTACAAGGATATTGGCACTCTCTCATCTCTTTTTGTTTTTCCTCCAACAATAGAAGAATATATATATATATATAGGAAACCAAAACCCTATCTCTAACCTAACTTCCTAATTATAATAAGATTCAAACTCCTAATCATGATAAAACCCAATCTCCTAATCATGATAGATCCCTAACCCTATCTAATTCTCATGAAGTTACACAAAGAATTAAAGACAAAATCTCAACAGGGACGTTGTGAATAAAAACTAATTTTTTGCCATTTTCCTTTTTTTCAATTTGAACTTATATATTCTTATTTAGTTTATTAAACAACAACGTAAATATTAGGTGACAATAATTCCATAGTTAGCGTTTTCTAAAAGAGTTATTCATTTATTAAGTAACAAGTTTGTGTTATATCTATGTCTTCATTTTAATTTTTTATAAGTGTCACTAGTAAAAAACGTAGCATACAGGGAAACCAAAACTCTATCTCTTGTCTAACTTCCTAACTAGCATAGGATTCAAACTCATAATCATGATAAGACCCAATCTCTTAATCATGATAGATCTCTAACCTTATCTAATTCTCATGAAGCTATACAAAGAATCAAAGACACAACCCCCAAACAACTCTCTCCTGATCGTCCTCCTCTCCCTCTTCATCTCTCCTCAGCCCCCGTCGTCTGCCTCTCCCGCCTTCTTCTCCTCCACCATTGACCTAGTTCATCCTTAACTAGTTTAACAAGATCTTCTCCTCCGAGCTCGTTGCGATCTTCTCTTGGTTTTCTGGAATAGTATGTTCCAAAAAAATTCCAAAAATGCCCCCTCCTCTCCTTTTAATGCTCCCCTTTGTGTGATTCAGCATCCTCTCCTCCTAACCCTCCTCTCCCTCTTCATCTTCCTCTTGGATGTTGTCCTCTTCCTCTCCCCCTCCACCATCACCAACTCGAGCTCATCCCCACTAGTTTGACAAGATCTCTTCCTCCGATCTTGTCGACATCTTCTCCTTTCTCGACCATCTCCTCTCCAAGCTTGCTACAATCCTCAATTTGATTTTTGAAGATTGCTTGTAAAGTATTTGATGAAATGCCAACGAGAAATGTGTGAGGTCTCTGCAAGTTTAAAACTTTGATTTGAAAGCAATTTTTAGTTTTTGTAATGCACAATTATCTTGAAATAGGATTTTATGGTTCATGCTAATGGTATGTGAGTTATCTTGTCATTTAAATGTAAAGAAGAGTACAAAGTTATGATTTTGAATGAACAGTTGTATTCAATTAGACAATCCAGTCTTGCTTCAGCCAAATAAAGACAAGAAAAAAATTATATTAAAGCATAAATAAAGATGAGAAAGCATTACTAACACTTACCTTGACACCCATGTTTAGTTTACTGTCATGCTTGCATGCAACAAGTTCGGAAGGATAGCATGGAATTTTAAAGATAAATGCATATGCTCCTTCAACCTGCCTCATAACTTTTATAACAACTTGTTAAGTTTATCCATTACATGTAAAGTTTATATCTTTAGTGTTAAGTTTACCACTACATGTTAACTATATCTAGTACATGTTAAATATACCGATTACATGTTAACTATACAAGTACCTGGTAGCTATATCTAGTACATGTTAATTAACTTTATTCGGTACCTATTAACTATATCCAGTACTTGTTAACTTTAGCCAGTACCTAATGCTTTCTCATCTTAATTTTTGTTTTAAAATAAAGTTAACATTAACTAGGTAAGATTCATAGCTAATATTTCATAATTCACAATCAACCCATACAACTATAAGTTTGTGTAATGTTGATGTTTACATACACACAACTACATGACAATATCTCCACTATGTTTTTTGTACATGACATGTTACTATTACATATTCCCTCTCTCTCCATCCACAATCCCTCTCTCTACACTTTACTCTTTTACTATCTCAAGCTTCGGTCATGGCCGCTAACTCTTAATAGATCACAAACTTCAAATAAGTGCAAAAGAATCATCATTTTATCCTCAAAAAACACTCTCGTCTTCCCAGCATTCCCACATTTTGAATACATATCAACAAGAGTAGCAACAATAAAATATTTTGAGTCAAATCCAACACTTATCATATGTCCATGAATCTCTTTGCCTAACCCTTCAGTCATGGTCTCTCCACAACCATCCAAAATCCAGCAAAATGACTAATTATATGTTAACTATATCCAATACCTGTTAATTATATCCAGTACTTGTTAGCTTTAGCCAGTACCTGTTAGTTTTAGCCATTACCTAATGCATTCACATCTTTAGTTTTGCTTTAAAGTAAAGTTAACATTAACTAGGTAAGATTCACAGTTAATCTTTCATAATTGACAAACAATCCATACAACTAAAAGCTTGTGCAATATTGATGTTTACATATACACAACTACATGACAATATCTCCATTACATTTTCTTTGTACATGATGTGTTATTATTACATAGTCCCTCTCTCTCGATCCACAACCCCTCTCTACACTTTACTCCTTTACTCTATCAAGCTTTGATCATGGCTGCCAACTCTTAACAAAAACAAATTTTAAACAAGTGCAAAAGAATCATCATTTTGTCCTTAAAAAAACATCCTCGCCATCTCAATATTCCCACATTTTGAATACATATCAACGAGAGCAGGCACAATAAAAGATCCTAAATCAAATCTAACACTTATCATATATCCATGAATCTCTGTCCCCAACCCTTCAACCATAGTCTTTCCACAAGCATCCAAAACCCTAGCAAAAGTGCAATCATTCAGTTTAATTACACAACTCAAGATCTCACGAAACAACCCTAAATCTTCATTCTTCCTCTTCACATTAAAATACCTCTCAATCGATTGCACTCAAAGAAACCACATCTCTCTTTGTCATTTTGTCAAACACATGCCTAACTTTATCAATTTTCCCACATTTTGCATACATTTCAATAATCACATTCAATGACACCTTATCCATTTCATCTAAACCTCACAATGTGACACTGCATCTCCTTTCCAAATGTCAATGACCCAATTCTTGTGGCGGCAATTAGAGGAATAGGCTTTGATGAGAGTGTTATAAGAGCAGAGGTCACAGGAAGGCTAAGAGGAGGAGAGGAGAAGGAGATAGTGGGGTTGGAGGGAAAGATGAAGAGGGAGAGGAGAAGGGTCACAGTTAGGGATAGGAAATAGGGGGGAAGGAGAAAGACAGGGCACTAAGATAGAGAAGGCAAGGAGAAAGGAGGGAGAAGAGCAGCGGCGACGGCGGCTTAGGAAGTAGAAGAGGAAGATTTAGGGAAAGGGAGATAAAGCTTTTTAATGAATGAAGAATAAAAGAGGGTAAAACAGGAAACCCTAATGAAATACAAGAAGTACTGAAACACAAGCAGATAGTATGGTGGCTGGGACACACTAGGTTTTGATTTTTACGGCCTTGACACAATTTTTCCTTTTTTTAGCTAAAGTATTATGTTCGAATGTCAGTGAGTTGAATTATGTGCATATTTTGAGCAATTTTGTCTTATTTATTTTATATAACTATTTTCTTACTCTTTTCTTCTTAACTTTCAGGAGTATTTTGCACTTTTTAACAATATATCAGTAAAACTATGAGATAATATTTAGGATGGATATTTTATACTTTTAACAATGTCACCAACACCTTGAGATCAAATTTTTTTATGTGAGATTGTACATTTTTTGTAATTTGGAATGTTTGTGGGAAATTTTGCAATATGAAAATGAATGAAAGAATTGCGTTTGATTTTATTCTCTCTAACTGCTTAGAAAAAGAATGATTACAACTCTCTCTGCTCTCAATTACAATTTGAATTCCTGATTACAAAAGAGAAGAGAATGATCTGGATTCTCTTCTTTGTTTAATTCTGGGTTCTTCTTGGTAGCGATGAGATGCCTCCCTCGAGTGCTCGCGTCGAGTTTGCTTCTCGTTGACGATCCGACTGTCTATACTCACTGGAACAACGATCTTGTCTGGTTGATAACTCTTGACGAGTTTTGTGTTTCAGAACGAGTAACAAACTCTGATAAAACGAGTTGTTTGAACCGAAAATGATTCGGTTAATAAGCCGAGTATCTAACGTCTGGATCCCTCA